TCATCATTTCAATGAATATGAAAAATGACAGTTTTTTTCTTTTTTAATACTTGAGTAATAAATGATATTTTTGCTAGGAGCAAAATATGGGCAACAACATAGTCATATGTACACAGTCAAAACATGACACTTCAATATTAATCTGGCATGTGCTAAAGAGTTAAGCATACCCGGTAAAAGTAATAGTATTTAAAACACGAGCGAAGCTTGAGCGATCTCTGAAACTCTTGATCAGATATGTCTATATATAGTGGGTAGAATAGATGTATTATTTCTTTACAAATGTACATTTGTCATATAGTTGGAATATTGCTGAGTGCAGCGTTAAACAACAAAACAAAACAAACAAATGTACATTTGTCATATATAGAGGTTAAGGTTTAGAAAGGGTTATTCTCGTACTTTCTGGAGTATAGGACATTTGTATTCGTCTTTATAATTAAGAGAAATATTTACAAAAATCCTCCTCATTTCAAGAAGAATGAATTACAACGAAAACAAGCGGGAACCTATCACTCATGGCCCAACAAAACTGAAACACACAATTGGTCTTTTTATTTTGAAAAATAAAATAACGCAAAACAACATATATTACCATGTGTACATGTAGGCCCTGCAAAACTTTAGACCCATTTATGCACGTAAAGAATGCCAATGTCATGTTGAAAGGGAACATCAGGTTACACTTTGGCGACGGAAAGTGTAAGCATGAAAATTGGATATGGAAGTATTGCGTTTTACAGTTAGGTGTTTTTATTTAACAGTCTGTTAACCTCTATAGCGTCGGTGCATACTCCCAATCAACTTCCCCAGGGGCGGTGGGTAGTCTAGTGGTTAAAGCGTTCGCTCGTCACGCCGAAGACCCGGGTTCGATGGGTACAATGTGTGAAGCCCATTTGTGGTGTCCCCCCGTCGTGATATTGCTGGAATATTGCAAAAAGCGGCGTAAAACCATACTCACTCAATCAACTTCCCAATCTGACGTTGAGGGATATTCTGCAACTCTTGGAGAAGAGCTGTTTCGAGTTGTTGAAGTGTAGCAGGGGGTGGTTGCCAGCTTGATACACGCTTCTGTAAATCATCAGGGCTGTCTATCCGATTGACTCGATTATGTCGTAAACAGTCGGTAACAATGTTTGCACGGTGTGGTCTGGCGTTATCATCATGAAGTAGGGCTCGCCCAGGAATGTTCCTGAGGTATGGTAAATGTACCGACACAACGACACAACGTCTATTAGTAGACGTCCTTGTTCTATTAGTAGTCGTTACTGTCTACATTGTTCAGTATGTTCTGTCTATCTCCTTGTTCGATTAGTAGTCGTTATTGTCTACAGTGCTCAGTATCTTTTGTCTAACTCCGTGTTCCATTAGTAGTTACTGTCTACATTGTTCAGTATGGTTGGTCTATCTACTTGTCGGCTGTACCAAGCCCATGTCACTACTAACAGCAGTATTCGGCATAGATTTCTTTTAACCTAAAAAGAAATGTATGAATCTGTTTTGAAGGTCATTAATACAGGTCATATCATAGGTACCTCACAACGATGTACCATACTCAATAACAGACCATGCCATGGTGTCATATTTCTTGGTAACAGTATTCAATACAACCAACCTAATAACTAGTTTATATTAGGGTTGGGAATTGGACCAAAAAGTGTATTGCGATATATTGCGTTATACATGTGTTGATAGTGAGTGAGTGAGTGAGTATGGTTTTACGCCGCTTTTAGCAATATTCCAGCAATATCACGGCGGGGGACACCAGAAATGGGCTTCACACATTGTACCCATGTCGGGAATCGAACATGTGTTGATAAACAACATTGACAATTAAGCAAATAAATATTTGGTGCGGGCAGATATCTAGATTGTATATACTTTTGTAGATATGAAACATTCTGGTTAATTGTGGATATACTAGGCTACACATACATCCCATGACAGATGAAGCGGTGCCTTAATAATGAAATGCAAAAAGAAATATGTTTATTTCCATCCCAAACATCGTTTACTTCTACTATATGCATGGTTGGCGGCAAGATCAAAGACGCCGCCCAGCATTTATTACTATGTATGTGTGTGTGTGTGTGTGTGTGTGTGTGTAGGTATATGTGTTTTTGTGTAATACCGTATATATATTTACACTTGTCAGAGGGGTACACAAAGTACGTGATCTAGACTACCATTTGTCGGACTTTGTGTGCTGGTAATTAGGTGCATCACTCTGGCGGTGTGGATTCGAATCCCGGACGGGACTCAACCAAACAAAGTACAAGAATTTGTACTTTACCAAGATAGTGTTACCCCTAATATTTATTTTACTATTCTACAAGTATTGACATGGATGGATAAATATGACAATGAAGACCTCATTTCCACTGTTTCATTGTTAGTCGTTATGTCTATTGATCCTGGAGTTAATGGGTCCAGAAATGATATATTATACGTAATTTTGAAACTGGACACATTTTTAAACACTAAGCATATCTCATATGATAATGTGGTCCAGCTCATGTTGGTATGCAGGGATCTAACACAACAGATTATCTTGTCTTGGTAAGCAAGGTTTGCTAAAGGATGAGGCCAAAGAGATTTCAAATATGCCACTGTGAAGTCCGTTCTACAAAGGCAATATTTGTAGGATGATGGTTCTATTGGAAGACATATGCAGGAAGACAAAATAGTAAAAATTTTACGTCTTAAGAGAGGAAGTCGTTTTAACTAGATTTCGTCTTGGTCACTGTCCACTGAACACCGACACAGGTGTTGTTGATAAGGAGGTATCCCCTCGGTGTGACCAATGTAGTCACAATACGCCGGAAACAACTCAACATTATTTGCCGGAATACCGTCGTTGAGATAACATAAGACTACATCTTAGAAGTGCAGTGATGGAGAAAAGTGAAATATTTTCTCTGGCTGCAATACAGGGCCCCAACATGCCATATACGGTTAAATACAATTGCAATACTATAGTACGAGGGGCGTTCAATAAAATTTGCAACTTCAATATAAAACCAAGTCGTAGAATATCTTTTCCACTTTAATATTTTAAAATAATCCCCATTCCCCTCAATACACTTATTCCATTTGTCCTTCAAGCTTTTAATACCACTTTCATTGAAACCCGCAGATTGGCCTTCTAACCACGCCTCTGTGGCAGCCTTTATGTCCTCGTCATCCTTGAAGCGTCTTCCACTTAGGGCATATTTCATTTGCCGGAACAGGAAATATTCACTGGGGGCTAAGTCTGGGCTGTAGGGTGGGTGATGTAACTGTTCGAATCCACATTCACATATGGCGGTCTGTGCAATTTTCGACTTGTGAACCGGAGTGTTGTCATGCAAAAGTAGAATACAACGTGTTAACATCCCACGGCGTTTCTGGCGAATAGATTTTAGCAATTCTTTCATTACATTAGCATAATACTGTCAACTGATTGTAGTTTTTGGTGGCATGTAATCAATCAATAATATGCTTCTTGCATCCCAAAATATGGTGGCCATAACCTTGTTAGCCGATGGTTGTGTGCGAAACGTCCTCGGAGGCTGAGAATTGGGGTGCTTCCATTGCATGGATTCCAATTTAGTTTCTGGGTCCCAGTGGTGGATCATCACCTACCACAAAAAAGAAATCCGACTTCATCAGCAGTATAGAGATCCAGGAGTTCTCGACAACTTTCAGACTCTGATTGCAATCTTGAGCTCTGAGGTTTCAAGGTACCCATCTTGCAGATACCTTGGACATACCAAGATGCTCACGAATAATGGTGACAACAGTTCCAACTGATATTTGGAATTCCCTAGAAAGTTCAGATACTTTCAATCGTCGGTCAGACAAAATTCTTCTTTCTATAGCAGCAATGGTTTCCGGTTGGGTGGCATCTGAAGGCCTGTCTGACCTTGGGTCATCGTCTATAGACTCCCTACCCCTTTTAAACTGTAGAGACCAACGGAAAACTGTGGAATAGTCAGGAGCATCATTACCCATCACTCTACACATGCGATCATGGATTTCTTTTGCTTTGAATTCCTCCTTGGTAAGGAACTTTATTACAGCGCGTTGTTCATGTTTGAGAGACTCCATGATTGATACCACCCTCAGGTGAATGAAGCCATCACTTCTAACTTATTGTTGTGTCTGGGAACCTGATGTTATGACTAGTGTCACACTTGCCACAAGTTGACATTATTTGTGTAAACACAAATGCCCAAGTTTCAATATTTATTGAACGCCCCTCGTATGTAGCTGCATAAGACCAATAATATGTCGTCTGGTAGATATAAACATTGATGTGAAATATAATGTCAGAGTAATTGTGTACAATGTCATGATTTGTATTCTTGTTACATTCCGTTTCGCAGTGAATATGATGTGTTAGGCGCACATATACCTTCTTTCTGGTTCAAGTACAACCATCACCATCACCATCACCATCACCACCACCATCACCACATCCACCATCACCACCACCATCACCACATCCACCATCACCATATCTACCATCACCACCACCACCACCACCACCACATCCTCCATCACCACCACCACCACCACCACCACCACCACCACTACCACTCTTACCATCACCACCATCACCACGACTACATCACCTCCACCAGATTAGATTTGATAATTGTAAAGACGCTCATGTCTTTCGGTGAAGAGCTTCTGTTGGACATTAATGATCGACCACCTTGTAGAAAGTAGCAAAGTAACATTTCTTTCACCAATTAACACAGAGAGTACACTGTGTCGGTTGTACCATTAAGCTGCCGGTATTTCGAGAACTAATGCCTGGCAAAAAGCGTATTTTACCACAATGAACACTTGGTTGGTTCTCGGCCTGCTGACAGCTTAACGATATTGTACATTAAATAAAAGCAACAAAACCCTTTCCACGGCCACAAGAAATCTCTGCAGATTCGAGTATACGATTCCGACTATAATTATCACATAATAATGTTGGAGTACACCAATAACGTAATTATTTTGAGCTATTGAAAATGGCTATCCCTAAGTTTCATCTTTTCATTCTGTTCGTAACCAGGGTCTCTGTTACTACCCTCTCGCTCCTTCATCATCAGACTTTCTCCTCGCTCTTCGGCCCTCTTGGCGTCCTCTTCTCTCGTCATCACATTAAACACATCCCATCTGGTTGACAGCCACCCTCGCCGGAACACAAGCCTTGTGAACGCTGACACAGATATGATGGCCACAAAGTTGACTATCATCGTTAGGGTCTTGAAAGGGAACAATTGGCCATCAGCTTCTGTGTAAAAGGGGAATTGAATAAGAACTGGTATTCCTAGCAGGGTGTCCCCAGCTGCCACTCTCAGAAAGAGGCTGAGAGCGTAGCCGGTGAGCGCGCCGTAGGTGTTGGTGAACCCGATCCAGAGAACACAGGTGAGTTGGGGGAAGAGGATGACGTACATGAGGTCTGTACACATGTAGAACAGTCCATAAACTGACTTCACCAGGATGGCAATAACGCACGACAACGTACCAGTCACCACAATGCCATCTCTCAAGACCCACATCACTTCTCGGTCACTGGCCTAAAAATGATACCCATATCAGCTATTAGAAAGCAATAATAAATATAGTGATATTTGTGAAAATGCATTCTCAGGAATCTCCAGTAACCTGCTTCAGCAATAACAACCTCATCCGTTTCTTGTTATATCATTAATTTCTGACAATACGTGACCATGATATTTCAATTTGGTAGAGACGCACCACACCAAGTCCCAACACTGCCACCGGAAGTGGACACAGGTAGTTGAGCACCATGGGAAGGATAAAACTGTGGTATTCAGTAGGTATTGGGATATCGCCTGTGTAGGATGTGGCATTCCAGTCTGGGGAAAACAATATGAACGCAGTTGAGGTCGGTGTTCGAGGACGAAAAGTACCTGAAACAGTTGCTGAAACTAAAAAGTGGTCCACATTATTGTCATGTTTATTCAGTTTGATATTAATGACTCATACGTTGGTACTTCTTGGCCAAGTGAAGAGATGACACTTGGACGGAATTTTCAAAATATCATTGTTATCCTGACCTGCTGCTGCCCCGACTACTCCGATAGCTGCTGGGGGTATGGCGAGAAGAAAGCTACAAAACGCTGCGACAATGGAACTTGTCCGGGCAATACTGGGCGTCTTGCAAGCCAACACTCTCTGGTAAAAGACCTGCATAAATCAAAGTCCACATTTGCTGGATAAAGAGATACAATATACAGATCTCGATAGACCTTTGGTATGCCCAATATAATGATTATTACCATATCATATAATATAGCGTCTTATCACATTGTAAAGGTTATATTTACAGATGGCATTGGCTGCTACCACTGTACAATGAACTTGTTGGCGATTCATAAACACATGCTTATTACATATTCGGAATCGTTCAATCGAGTATTGTTTCAGCAAAGAGTTCTTGTAAATATTGTAAGGGTTCTGTCGTTTTTATTGTACTTGAGATGCATACCTGCCATGACATTCCTCCAAAGACAAGCTGACAACAGAGGTCTGCATATAAACCAATCATGTTTGTGGGCAGCTCACCCAGCCACGTGTCCTTGATTCGCGAGAGGTCAACAGATGGGTGGAAGAAGGCCAACGGACATGCCACGATCTACAAAATATCAATTTAAAGTACATCATGTACTGAACACAGCTGTATCGTGCTACATCGAAATTACTTTATACATTGTACACACATGGGAAATGAAAGTAATGAGGTAGAGGAGGTGGGTGTATTTCAATTACAACTTATTGATAACGAATATTAACTGTCAATTTCTGATTGAAATTGTTTTGAAATCCACCACAATGCTACTCTCACAAACAAAACGATAAACCCCTGTTGCCTGTAAGCAAACATAGCGAATCTCACCCGAGTGTTTATTGATATCAGATATATCATCACGGATCTTGCTTACTTGAGGGTCTTGAGTGTTAAGAGTAACTAACCTGTTTGACTGTGACGTTTTGGCAAACTCTGCGGTGCTTTTTCATTGTTTCGATATCTCCTAAGAGATAGTGCTGTTCACTGAGTAGTCCTACATTTCCCTATGAGACATCTCTTTGAACCCCCACAAACCAAAGCTGTCTCACCACAGCTCATACATAATAAATGTTGCTCAACAATATCAGTTTCATGTTGGTCAGCAACCATTTGTGTCTATTGCATTGTGATCTTCTTACCAGTCCCACGCAAAGACACATGAGCTGGATGACATCAGTGTAGGCCACAGAGTACAGTCCTCCGATGAAGGTGTAGAACACGGCCACACAGGTAGACACGATGATGGACAAGACGGGATCCAGATCCAGGATAAGGGACATGGTGGACCCTTTGATGTAACACATAGGTTAAGGTCAGTTAGACATGGTTTCATCGTTGTATGGATGGGTCAATGAAAGAATGTTATCACATAAAATCGTTGTATTTATATAAACACATGCGATTTCTTTTTGTTGAGCATTGATAGTATTCATATCTCAGGTAATGATTTTTGCTTTGTCAGCAACACCCTAGTGATCGAGAGTTTAACCAAAGCTGAACAACAATGTTCAAAATACCCTTACAAAATGACACCAATAATATGGCGCATCGACAAATGCTGAAATTGTCACAGTTTTACCCAGGGCTGACAAGATGGCGGCTGTCCAGAAGACATCTCCCATCAGCTGCGGGAAGAAGAGCAGACTTCCGGCACGATCTCCCAACTTTGCCTGGATGGGGTCGAACATGGTGATATATCCTCCTCATCTCATCTTAGGCGCGTAAAACACTCCAGCTGAGGATTTATTTGTATACAGTTGAGTTTTGTGAAACAGTTTAAATAACAATCTTGAACAACGTACATGTTGCAACTTCATCAACTGTGCATGAAACAAAAGCTTTTCATTTCTTTCTAAAACAGCCTAATGATTGAACTGCCCGTTAAATATATTTGTAACATTCGCATCTATACATAATGAGTGGTTGTGAACAAGATATGTCTTAGCCAGACATTACACTGGATCAACGATGTTAAGGTAGTGATGTTAATTGATGCATAATTACATCCTATTCGGTGTCCAGGGGAGGTGGCATATGAACCGACAACACAAAATCGGTTGATCAGGCTCGAGTCGTAACTGATTTACCTCAAATGGTGTGTATAATATCAATCACCGGTTTGTCAAACATGGAGGTCATTTATTACAAAGAGCCACGACAAAACTATAATAATGCTGACTGTTAAACAACATTCATTAGTTCATCAAATAATTACATAGCCGTACATTATCACTGTGTATTGTAAATTAAAATCCCCTTATCAATGACGATGGAAAAGCAGGAGCATTGGTCCAGATGAGGCCACTGAATGCCATGGCTTCCGCTGTACCATTGATGTAGCCTCCCCCGATATTGGTGGCTGTAGAAGTGTGAACATTCATCAACATTAATTCTTTTATATTAGAGATAAATATCCGTTATAATCGTATAGCACATGTTTACCAAACAGTTTTATGCAGACATGCGAACAACTTCGTTTCTAACATCAGTCTGAGAAACGTCAGGTTGAGTGTCATTATGTTTGAATAGCTTCATTCTGAATCTTGACATCAACACAAAACAAGTGATTTATGTACTGAAATAAGGAGCCGAACTATTTCTTTTTTCACAACATTCAAACTGCACAGCGAACAATTGGCCGTTCTTGTAAAACCTGAGGCAATAAAGTGTGTCCCAGTACTTTCGTGAAAAAAGTTATTATTTCCCAACAATCACACCTCCACTCCCAGAATATCACATTGATGGTTGCTCAGACATATTTATGTCTGAGCTTTCTACAGCTAGTGCTTACATTGAACCTTTCTGAACAATTACAATTGTCACGATGGAAATAGTATTTCCATGTTATTTTACATGGTAATACCAGTATCAGTCATGACAATAGTAGTACCTATACTATCAGTCATGAAAAAGTAGCACCTACATGTGGCTGACAAGATAATGGTAGTACCTACATGTGGCTGTCAAAGTAATAATAGTTCACACACGTGTCAGTCGTGTAAAACGTTTTAGCATAACCTTTAAGGTAATAGTAGTTCGGAAATGTTCTCGCTGACTTGGTTGAAGAATGTTATCGCATCCTAGTTGCGTTGATTGATGCTCATGATGCCAATAACTGCATTGCCTGGTCCTGACACCAGATCACCGACATATAGCTGGAATATTGCAGAGTGTGGTGTTAAACAACAAACAAACATAACAACCTAAACTATCCTATATGAAAAGGAATGAGTGCAAGTTGTTTTCGTTAAGGAGATCAACATCAATCAGTAGCTATTGTCCTCATGACAGTAGTACGTAATGTAACTCTCAGGGTAACAGTCGTACTTGGGACCATCGGACCCGTGAAGATCCTGGGATGAATAGGCCTTCAGCAACCCAGGCTTGCTATAAAAGGCGACTTTGCTAGTCGTAAGAGGCGACTAACGGGATCGGATGGTCAGGCTCGCTGACTTGGTTGATGCGTGTCATCGTATCCAAAGTGCTTGGATCAATGTTCATGATGTCGACCACTGGATTGTCTGGTTCAGACTCGATTATTAACAGACCGCCGTCATATAGCTGGAATATTGCTGAGTGCGGCGTTAAACAATAAACAAACAAAAGTCGATCGACATGGAAACAGTTCTATCTACATGCAGGAAGATAGTAATTAGCTTTTGTACTTACCAGTAATTGTAAAAAAAGACAGCCATAGTCCGATGCTTCTATTGGCCACGAACGAGTTTTCAGCACTGCTGTTTCTGCTTTTCCTGGCGGCGATGATTCCGATGACGAGGATGAGGATGTAGAACACGATGACGGAGATGTTCACGGCCATGATGACGTACACGATGTCTTGGTGGAGTTTCCTTCTGAGCTTGGATCTTCTTTAGTCAACGTTGCAGTACCTTCAACAAGCTATGCCTAGTTCCTAACTTTGAATACGGAGTTTTCTGTTACCTGTTTACTTTGAGATAACTTTGCAAGTTCCTCGCTCCTCACACCGACTGCAGCGAATATGCGTTTAGTTCATCAACACGTCTTAACGATTTGTACCCTAACACAAATGAAATGTTGATTTCCTATTGAGTGGTCCATGCTGGTTATGCTGGATTACTTATACATTTAAAGACTCGTGCTAAGGCGCTCGGATCCAAATTAAAATAAGAGGTATCTAATCTACAGTTAGACTAAGTCAAATGAGAGAAATCAGGCGGTTTATCTTCTTATTCATGGAATCGGTTACCTCAGTCAAACCAGAATCCGGAGAACGCATCCGAGACTACTGTTGTTCTTGTACTTCTACCTAAGCCTTATATTCATGTTGTTCTTGTACTTCTACCAAAGTATTATATTCATGTTGTTCTTGTACTTCTCCCTAAACCTTATATTCATGTTGTTTCTATATATAAATAAAAACGGCAAAACCCTTTTGTAGTATAGGCAATGGGGGTTCTAGCTCACTTCCACTGGAGTCAGATTTATACCCCAATACTTATACTACGGAGGTAATTTTCTATGCAAAAACCGCGATGCGACTCAACGATCGTCATGAGACTAAGCTAAATTGTAATGAAAAGGGTTCTAGCTCACCACCACCTGTAGCCATTCCAACGATCATCATGACTCTATACTAAATTATATTGAAAATATTCTCTATTATTTTTACTCATATGCAAACCATTATTTTGAACATTTATTTATTTTGAATATATTTTATCACTATTCTCGCCAGTCCAGATACTCCGGCCGCTATTCCCATGCCAAGTACGATAGGAGCCGCGATTATAGTTGATAATAAACCAACACAAGCTATGCCAAGTCCCATGCTAGCCGTTATAAGTGCAGTGTCAACTCCGTGGAGAGCATTCACAGCTCTGCAATACTTTTTGGCAACAATGCAGTTTACCGGGCGCAGCCCATGGGCCATTCTCTACCATCCACTCAATTACCGTGCCACAGTGCTACCACACTCGCTATACCGTTACCGTGCCTCACGCTCCGGTGACTCTAAGTTCATGATCCAACACCCGTTTCGGTCTCAGGGAAACTTACACGTCTTTACGATCCAACACCCCTTTTCGGTCTTAGGGAAAATCACACGTCTTTACAATCCAACACCCGTTTTCGGTCTAAGGGAAACTTACACGTCTTTACGATCCACTACCCCTTTTTGGTCCTTAGGGTTCGCTTGCTTTGGGCAAGGGTTAGCCATAATTTCTTACCTTTCCAAGCGTTAATCCGCTTCATCCGATTGGTCGGTCATGTTGACATAAACAATGGCGGGTGTGGTTTCAAGAAAAGATTAATGGAAGAGCGGACAGTGACGTCACACGCATGCGCAATTCATTGTTTACTGAATTACGCATGCTTGTTAATGGGTTGCTAATGACCCGTTTAACGAGCACTGATTACATGTGATAGCGCGCGTGGTCCAGTGGTAGAGCGTCGGCTTATGAACGCATTAATTAGCCAAGCCGGTGAGCCAGCGAAGCGCTTTCGAACCCTCACAGCGCTAATTGGATCTGAAAAAGTGCGCCCGGTAAAGTGCACTACTCCCATTCATTGTTTTTGAAATGAGGAGGATTTTTGTAAATATTTCTCTTAATTATAAAGACGAATACAAATGTCTTATACTCCAAAAAGTACGAGAATAACCCTTTCTAAACCTTAACCTCTATATATGACAAATGTACATTTGTTTGTTTTGTTTTGTTGTTTAACGCCGCACTCAGCAATATTCCAACTATATGACAAATGTACATTTGTAAAGAAATAATACATCTATTCTACCCACTATATATAGACATATCTGATCAAGAGTTTCAGAGATGGCTTAAGCTTCGCTCGTGTTTTAAATACTGTTACTTTTACCGGGTATGCTTAACTCTTTAGCACATGCCAGATTAATATGGAAGTGTCATGTTTTGACTGCGTACATATGACTATGTTGTTGCCCATATTTTGCTCCTAGCAAAAATATCATTTATTACTCAAGTATTAAAAAAGAAAAAAACTGTCATTTTTCATATTCATTGAAATGATGAGAGATAATAGTTAACTTGAAAACAATGTTACAAACAATAACAACAGGATCAATTGTTTTCGCAAGAAATGGAAGTAACTGACTGCTTCCCTCCTGCTTCCCTTGCTTCCTTCCCCTTCCTGTCCACAATCATGATAACAAGTGAAGCATTCATAAAATATATTATCTATGTAGATGTTACAGCCAGATTATGTAATTTTCGGTCGTTTCATGAAATTACTGAAACTTAAAGGCAGACATTTGACGAAATGACTAAACTGACACTAATATGTGACTGGAACTAATATGTGAAAACATACGAAGATAAGTTCGTTTCACATCTTTTATTGGAGCAATTCAAGCAATGGTGATCACAGAGTTATCAATGAGTTATGGTGACAGCGGCTGTTGCATTTCAGGCTTGCTTTCTAACACTTGTTCGACACTACTCGGGTCATCTGCAGTCACACACTTGACAAAGCCTTCTCCATCACAAATGGATGAATATGTCGCACTGCTTCTCTGAGTGAGACAAGTGTTGTTCTGCTGATGTCAGTTTCAGTTTCAAACTGATTTTTTGAGTAGATGCAATTCAGGATACCGCTTTCTGTTGCCACAGTGTATTGATCATTTTCTTTCCCGTCCAAGATAACACCAAGGATAGTTCTGGTCTCTGGTCAAGCTCAGTGGTCTCAGGATCATATGGTTCAGTTGTCACATGATCAGGTGAATCAGTTGTCTCAGGATCAGGCGGTTCAGTTGCCTCAGGATCAAATGGTTCAGTGGTCTCAGATGAAGGTGCTTGCTCTAGTGTTTTAGTATGAGCAAAACTCACTGAAGGTCTTAATGATCTCATCTGGAAGGGATGTAGACCTCAGACCAACTTTGGCTTTTGTACCGAACAGCGGAATACGGACTGCGCTTCATACCAGAATGATGAGCTTAGTTCTTAGCCAAATGCACGAATGTAGTGCTCGTCGGCCACTCTTGAGACTTATTGTCACTCATCCAAGCCACTAGCATGTCACCATGTGCTCTTTCCACAGAATGTTGGATCTGTGGATGCCTTCGTTTACCATGTACTAACCTCAGTTCAGGCCAGATGTCGCGGCATTTCTTTGATGACATATGCAGTGAATTCGGAACATACCCTGACACATGGACTGCATGTCAATGAGATCGATCCCTGAGACTACGCCATAGGTCGTTTTTGCATACTTTGGCACTCTTCCAAAAAAGGACTTAAACAGTTCTACAGTATCTCTCAAGATGGTGGCATATTTGGTTTGCAGATCATTTATCATTCTGTTGCGACCACCATGTACAGTGCAAATGTTCACGATTTTAATAATGTGGAAGGTATCTTCTATTGTGACGAAGTAGAGTTTAGGTTCATCTGGTGATTGGCGCTTCTTGATTAACTTCTCAACATTAGCACACTGAAGTACTTCTTACTTGGACAGAAGATAGTACTCATGTTGACTCTTCGTGAGTGTAGACTGAAAGTCTTAAACGTTTCATGAAATGACTGGTTTCACAATCTAGCTTTTAATCGAACCCTCCTGGTTGACAGAACTGGGGAAAAAACAATTAAATCGAAGCTGTTCTGATACATGCAATTAACGCAGTTAGCATATAATTAACGTGATATCCATTTCGCACGAAATGGCACGTTTTAACGGCACTTGTCTCAAATAGTTTCTCTGACTATTAAGAAAGTCCTTCCTTGATTGTATTAAGGATTATGGTTAATCGTTGAGACAGGGATTTGGTGGTACATTTGCTTGACCCAGAAATACATCTCTCTTTGTGCAGGATTTTAATGGAGCTTTGGAACCCAGTCAAGCCAAAAGTTGATGGTGCTGATGTATGGTTTTCTTCCTCAGTTAGCATACTGGCCTTAAATGTGACATTTGGGCCCATTTATTGGCATATGCTTTCTACAGCATCCATAATGATTTCAAAATGGTTATCCCAATTGGTTGGAGGCTGCACGCGATATTTTTGTCCATTTTTGAATAATTGACGAAGGCTGGGTTGTCAACAATGGATAAGCCACCTGTGATTATATTATCTACAGGTTAGTAGCAAAATGATAAGTCTACATCGTGAGCTGCCCAGACAACGTTCTGCAGTACCTTCTTATAATTGAACAACCTGGATGAAATGTGTTCGTATAGGAAAATGAAACCCTTAAACCCTTTATTGAAAATGAAAATCATGTTCTCATTATATGCCCAAGATATCAGACTGTCAGAAATCAATACCTAGCACAATATTTAACACATTGCTCAAAATTTGTTTTCATTTTTATCAGTAATGTCATCAACAGATAAAAACATTACCTATTAGAAAATGTTTGCTGGAAGTTAGAAGTATAAGAGAAGAACCTTTGGTTGTTTAAGCATAAGTATTTGACTGTATTTATTTATACACATTACATGTGTCAAAATCATGGCTACATACATAGCATACATTTCATGCATGCAGGTTATATGACATGTATATATTATTGTATTATATATTGGATATGGACTGGGGGCCTAATTACTTAATAAATCTTGACTTGACTTGCCTTGCCTTGCCTTGCCTTGCCTTCTAGACTACCATTATCTAGTATGTGCAAGCCCGGAAGTTCTGTCATTAGCAATGCAGCGATACTGGGTGTCCAGCGGACAACATCAACACCACCGACAACACCATTTCCAGCTGCAGTGATAACCATCGTATGGATGAGATTCAGATAAAAGTCGATGAGTTCTCAGCCAACATGAAGATGAAATTCTGAGAAGACTCCAGACCAGTTTGTGTTATTTTTCAGGAAGAAGTATCAGGTGTGTAATGAAAATATATACACGAAAATATGTATTGTATTATATGAGGTTAAATGTCATAAACGCGGAGATACAAATTCTTACACGGCTTCCATGTCTTAAGAGGAGCCGGCATTCGGAGAGCCCCCTGCCAGGCGCACGACACACAGAGAAACATCAGGGGACAAGTAGATTCCAAGTACAGAGGTCAGCATCAAGTTAAATACAGATATTAAAAAAACAGCTCTCTGAAACTGTCAGTGGGTGCTTATGGGTTACATCTAAAAATGAATAACAGCGAGTGAGTAAGTTAACACTAGTTTGTGCATAATAAGTCATATTATGTTGCAGTACACCAAAAATGTAATCGATTTTAATTACTGCATATAGTTATCCCTAAGTTTCATCTTTTCATTCTGTGCGTAATCCGGGTCTCTGTTTCCATCATGTCGTTCCTTCATCATCAGACTTTCTCCTCGCTTTTCACCTCTCTTGGCGTCCTCTTCTCTCTCCATCACATTAAACACATCCCATCTGGTTGACAGCCACCCTCGCCGGAACACAAGCCTTGTGAACGCTGACACAGATATGATGGCCACAAAGTTGACTATCATCGCCAGTGTCTTGAAAGGGAACAATTGGCCATCAGCTTCTGTGTAAAAGGGGAAATGAATAAGAGCTGGGATTCCAAGAAGGGCGTCCCCAGCTGCCACTCTCAGAAAGAGGCTGAGAGCGTAGCCGGTGAGAGCGCCGTAGGTGTTGGTGAACCCGATCCAGAGAATGCAGGTGAGTTGGGGGAAGAGGATGACGTACATGAGGTCCGAACACAAGTAGAACAGTCCATAAACTGTCTTCACCAGGATGGCAATAACGCACGACAACGCACCAGTCACCACTATCCCGCCTCTCAGGACCCACATCACTTCTCGGTCGCTGGCCTAAGAATGATATCCATACTGACTATAACAAATCAATATTTATTTTAACGATATTTTTGAAAGTGCTCTTATAACATTCTCAGGAAGTTTCAGTAACCTGATTCAGTAATTACAACCTCTCATCCGTGTCTTGTTATATCATTAATTTCTTAGAATAGATGACCTTGCGATTTTATTTTTGTAGAGACGCATTTTCTAACCCACCTGTGGACGTATGACATCTTTGTAGATATTCTTAGCAAAGATGGTTCCACTTGAAAGGACAGAGGAGTCTGCAGATGACATAACAGCAGCAGCCACCACACCAAGTCCCAACACTGCCACCGGAAGTGGACACAGGTAGTTGAGCACCATGGGAAGGATAAAACTGTGGTATTCAGTAGGTATTGGGATATCGCCTGTGTAGGATGTGGCATTCCAGTCTGGGGAAAATCATAAAACATAAACGTATCTGATAAAACTGATAAAAATTAACAACAATATTGACCTTAATAACTATTTTTATTCAATTTGATCTGAGTCATATATTTATAATTCATAAATAGATAGGTGGTAACTGTAAGATTATTATTGACATCCTAACCTGCTGCTGCCCCGACTACTCCGATAGCTGTTGGCGGTATGGCGAGAAGAAGGCTACAAAACGCTGCCACAACGGAACTTGTACGAGCAACACTGGGCGTCTTGCAAGCCAACACTCTCTGGTAAAAAACCTGCATAAAAGAATTAAAATTCCTCATAAACACAAGCAAACACAAAATAGAGATATGCCCTTGGTATCCTCATCATAATGATTATCCCATATCATATCATGTTATGTATAGCCTTTTATCAACAGGATGATAAGTTTGTCTTAGAACAAAGCAAGTAAGATAAATACCTGCCAAGATAGACCTCCAAAGATGAGCTGACAACAGAGGTCTGCATATATACCAATCATGTTTGTGGGCAGCTCTCCCAGCCACGTGTCCTGGACTCGTGAGAGGTCGACAGATGGGTGGAAGAAGGAAAAGGGACATGCCACGATCTGAAATATATACAACTCCCTTTAAATAAGCGAGTTGAGAATCTATCGTTGTGAACGGTTAACGTGAGGATCAGATCCAAGTGACAGAAAGTGAGTAAAACTATGTAAAAATGTATGTTGTTGGCAGCTGGTTATTGTTTTAGCTTGATACATCATATGCTACTCACAAAACTCCACCTTTGGACAATACATTTACATTAAATGAATGACAATAATACTTTAAGATGAATGAATATCCAAGTAGGCAACTAAGTGCGTTTTCAGATTGTAGTGAAAGCTCTCTTCAGCATGTACCGAATACAGATGCATTGTGCCACATTGTAATGACTTACAACAATGTATCGACATTGTAAACATTGTGGGGTGGAAGTTGGTGTTGTTGAGCTTATTGATAAAGTATATTAACTGCCAATGCCTGCTTGATTTTGTTATGACGTCCATCACAAACCAACATTCTCTACCAGTCCCCAGAACAAGGCGTACACAACCCACGTAGCCTGTAAGTATTCGTAACGTTGAACCACTGTGTCCTACACTATGCTGTTGACTGAACAGCCCTACATCTCAGCATGAGGCAAAGTCAAATCTGTGCGCCACAAATTATCTTGGCGATATCAGTTTCATGATGGACTTCATGTAATATCCTTACCAGTCCCACGCAAAGACAAATGAGCTGGATGACATCAGTGTAGGCCACAGAGTACAGTCCTCCGATGAAGGTGTAGAACACGGCCACACAGGTGGACACGATGATCGACAAGACGGGATCCAGATCTAGTATAAGGGACATGGTGGACCCTGTGATGTAGCACATAGGTTAAGGTCAGTTAGACATGGTTTCATCGCTGTATGGCTGGTTCAGTTAAAGAAACTTATAACCATACAACCTTCGTTATATTTACAAATATGACAAAAGCGATAGTATTCATGTCTCAGATAATGATCTTTGCTTTGTCAGCATCACCCTCGTGCTCGAGAGTTTAACCAAAGTAGTAAATATCAAAACGTTAACTTTAGAGAATAACCAGTCTCAATTATCCATCGAAACAGAATCCATAGCAAAATAACAGTAACAATTATATGGACGGATCACTGAATATCAGTCATGACACACAGCAATGTTCAAAATATCCTTACAAAATGACATATATGGCGCATTCATAAACGGTGTTAAAAAGCGGTGGTAGACACCCAAACCACTCACTAACCTGGTAGGACTTTTTTAAATTGTCATAGTTTTACCTAGGGCTGACAAGATGGCGGCTGTCCAGAAGACATCTCCCATCAGCTGCGGGAAGAAGAGAAGACTTCCGGCACGATCTCCCAACTTTGCCTGGATGGGATCGAACATGGTGACATATCCTCCTCTTCTCATCTTAGGCGCGTAAAACACTCCAGCTGAGAAATTATATGTATGTATACAGTTGTGAGACAGTTTAAATATACTCTCCTGAACAATCAAAATGTTTTTAAAAAATAACTATGCAAGTTCCAAAATCTATTCATTTTTCTAAAAAAAACCTTAATGTTTGTTCTGCCCGTTAAATATGTTTGTAACATTCCATACTTACAAATAATGAATGGAATTACTTAGGGGCCATTTAAAAATGCGACTGTTAAACAACATACATTAGTTCATCAAATAATTACATTTTTATATATTTTTACTGTGTATTGTTAATTGAAATCCCCTTACCAATGACAATGGAAATGCAATACAAAAGAGGAGCATTGGTCCAGATGAGGCCGCTGAATGCCATGGCTTCCGCTGTACCATTGATGTAGCCTCCCCCGATGTTGGTGGCTGTAAAAGTGTGAACATTCATCACCATTAACCATGTATAATCATGTAATATACTAAAACAATCATATATCATATATGAATGTTCACCGACCAGTAATGCAGATGAGTGAACAACTTCGTTTTCAAGAGAAATCTGAGAAAGGTAAGGTTGCATGTGAAAACATTTGCACAAAACATGCAATTTATTTTCTGAAAATTAGGACCTCTTTCTTTCTGCACAACATAGACTTTTGCCAGGACATCCAAAATGCACAGCGAACAACTGGTTGCTGTTGAAAATCCTCAGACAATAGAAAAGTTATGTTCGGGAAAAGATATTTTTTCCAAATAATCAAACCCCAGCCCCCAGAAAATATCACATCAGCGGTCGCTAAGTTTAGTTTATGTTTGAACTTTGAGCTAGCTAGTGCGGCATGTAACCTTTTAGATAAATGTGAACTTTCATCTGGGTGTGACGATCAATTAGTTCCTTCATGTTACTGATATGGTAATAGTCCTGGTAAAGTAGCCCCTGCACATGTCAGTCATGTAAAAGGGGTATCTACATGTGGCTCTCAAGGTAATAGTAGTACCTACACGTGACTGTCAGGATAATAGTGGTTCCTGCACGTGACTGTCAAAGTAATAGTAGCTCCTGCACGTGACTGTCAAGGTAATAGTAGTTCCTGCATGTGACTGTCATGATAATAGTAATACCGACAAGAGGCTGTCCTTTCCATTGCAGTACTTACTTGCAAATGTAAGGGCAATGGTTGTACTTGGGAGCGATTGTCATGGACACCTTTGTACCTACTTGCAATTCGCACCTCCCTAACTATAGATATAGTCCTTACCCGTAATTGTAAAGAACGACAGCCATAATCCTATGCTTCTATTGGCCACGAACGAGTTTTCGGCACTGCTGTTTCTGCTTTTCCTGGCGGCGATGATGCCGATGACGAGGATGAGAATGTAGAAGACGATGACGGAGATGAGTCCGGGAATGTTCACGGCCATGATGACGTCCCCGATGTCTTGGCGTAGTACACGTGCACACTTCTAGTTGAAGCTGGAAATGTTTCACTCTGAGATTGCATCTCATTTGGTCAACATTGCCATGCCTTCTACAAGATCATCCTAGCAATACCTCGTGCTCAATACAGAATACGGAGTCGTGCAAGCTCCGCACTCCAATACCACGAACCTGTAAACGTACACGTGGCTTCTCCTCACACTAATACACTGATCCCTGCACATAGTACATAGTACATAGTACATAGATACTTTTCACGTCCATAAAAGTCCATAAATCGCAGAAACAATCATTATAAAAGAGGTAGCATTATTGAAACAATATTTTTATCTTTATTCCTTTAAAAACGTTTACACTCAGTTGTCATAATGTAAATATGTGAATATGGGTTTTTTATGTTTAGTTTATAAACATGTCTTGATGATCATATTTCTTTTAATGGATCCTAACAAAAATGTACTCCCTACTGAGTGGAGCATGCTGGCAAACCTGGATTTTCCACACACAAAAAAGAATTTGATTAAAAATAGTTCGGCTTCGTCTTTGTCAGTCCTGAAAACTGTATTTTACGAAGCAGTGAACGAATCAGTATCTACTGACCTCTACTGGGTTCTACAAAGAATAGCATAAATTATACAAAACGTTAACGCCAGAGAATAATCAGTGTCGATTATCTGCCGAAATATTTCCAGAACAACCAGAACAGAACATTAATCACCAGAACAACCATACTGTATTGTTATGGAACGGTTTATTTATAGGATCTATATTGTTTGATTTTTGGTTATTATTGTGTATCTGTATTCTCAATCCGCTCCTAATTCTACCATGACACTGAAGATCGCTTGATTCTGATTAGTCAAAATAAGATTAAAAACAGGTATCAAATGGACTTTGATACCCCGAAACCTTCCGTGTGAAAACATCTATCGATAACCTACGCGTCGATGAGTATAAATTTATTTTGCGATCAGCAATCAGAACAGCACATTATCAAACATTATGAAATCTATCTCAAAACACTCACAATTAACACAATCTTCACACACCAATCACTTTGTCACGGCCAATCAGGTCCCTCAGTGTCTTTCGTGTCATACAATGCCACTCGTCTTCACCTGAAAATATGCAACAGATAAGGTATCTATGGAGGGTTATTCCATCAATTCGTTTAGAAAACTATGCATTTTGTAACCATTAGTTTAAACTACTCATAAATGTAAGTAATTAATCTTGAATTTGAATAATATCTGTTATGTTTATCTATACTGTGACCCCATTTCGACTAAGATAGCTGACCTATTCCCCGGTGGGTAGATATGAATTCTTTTTGCCGAGGTGTAAGAACGAATGAGCACCGTCTCCAAAGCGCTCAGGGAATTGAGATAAACCGACTGTATTTTGAAATGTGGGGTAGTCTCACTGTAGATTATCAAATGTCTAAGACGTGCTTCACATTTCTCCCATATTAAACTCACATATCGTGATATTGCTGAAGTATTGTTCCAAGCTGCATTTAACCCAACTAACTCACTGTCGCTATCATCTCCTTAGCTATGCACACAGCTTACTTCTTATGTGGAGGCCATATATGAAGAATTTCAATCACTCGTTACAAATAGTAATAAATACCTAGTTAATACCCAGTAAATAACTACTATTGTAAACTGCATGAGGCTTATGTTCCTACCTTACAACTAATGTTGTTATAGTGTACCTATGCCTAGGCTTATATGCTTGCCAAACTACTATTGTTATTCTTGTTCTCCTACCTATTCATATTGTTCTTACCTGACTACTATTGTTATTCTTGTACTTCAACGTAAGCCTTTTATTTATGTTGTTCCTACCTAACTACTATTGTTGCCAGATTGCATTTCTACCTGAGTCTGATATTACTTTACTGTTCCCTGCTTACTACTTTAGTTGTTCTTGCAGCTCTTCCTGAGCTATATTTTCATACTGTTCCCGGCGGCCTTCCTTCGTTGTCATACTGTGCATCTACCTAAGTCTGATATTCATACTGTTCCTACCTACCTAATGCCGTTGTCCCATTGTACTTCTCCCAAAGGCATATATTCCTACACTCTTCATACTTAGTTTGAAGAATCTACGTTTGTTGTTTTTATTGACATAGAAAAGCGTTTGATTGTATAAATATGAGTCTGTTGTGGGAAAAGCTATGTCCATATGGTTTAACAGGAAAGATGTGAAACGCGAATGGGTATTTTTATAGATATGTTCAGTGCTCTGTCCGATTGAATGGATTATACGCCATGGTTTGATGTTAATTATTGGCTAAAACAATGATGACTTATCGCCGCTGTATTTTATTATATATATATAATTCAACACCCGTATATATATATATATATATCAATGATTAAATAACTAAAATAGATTGTATGTCATTAGCAGTTCCAATTGATGATACTTCAGTTAGTATATTACCCTATGCGGATGATATTAATTTAGCTGAGATGGAGGCAAGTCTTATTGTTATGCTTGATTACCTCCACACCTGGTATGTGGTAAACAAAATGACTGTAAATAAAACAACATAAATAATAATTCATGTTAGATCGCCTTCAAATAAACGACTGATGTCAACGTTGTATTTATTTGTGGTGGTTAACTCTTAGAAGTGGTATTCTAACTATAATTATTTAGGCTTACATCTGATTTTACACCTACATCATAACAGTATGGCAAAGTCTGCAGCAAGTTCGGCCAGGAGAGCACTTTGTCTATTCTTTGCAAAATGTAAATTATTAGGTTATATGGAATACTGAACTTTTACCAAAAAATATGACACCTTGGCATTTTCTGTTATTAAGTATGGTACATCGTTTCGGGTTTTTCTCTGATACGTCCTGTATTAATGACCTACAGAATACAGCAATGCGTTACTTTTTAGGTTTAACGAAATGTGTGCCAAGTAATGTTGTTAGTGGTGACATGGGCTGGATGCAGCCTACTGTTCGCCAATGGGCAAGTGCTGTTACATTGCATAAACGTCCATGTTATCTTGATCGGATCTCTCACGAAATATTTCTTTGGAGCAATTGTTGGACGATAAGAAGGAAATAAACTGTCCTGGAACGTTTTAAATCCCATGCAAACGTTATAATACCTTCTTTGTTGAGTCCAAGAATCATAGCTTTAGGTGTGCATATAAACTAGTTATTAAAAGAGCTATCACACAACTCAATGGTAGCTCCCACTATGAAGGTACTTGCACACGGGTGTTACAAGCGTGGCGAACAGGTTCCACACGAGTGCCCAACAGGTCGCACACGGGTTGCGTAACGCGTTGCCCATGCGTGTAAGGGGGATGGACTTCTAGGCAGTAGTGTACATGCATGCACGCACGCACGCACGCACGCACGCACGCACGCACATACATACATACACGCCATATGCTATGGGTCAGTTCATTGCGCTGCAGGGATTACAAGTTCCGACTCGGATCACTGTGTTTGCCTAAAGGTGAAGAGGAGAAGACACCCTTGAGGCGATCCCCACATTTCTGAACAACTAGATACTTTTGATCCGACCGAGTCTCAACGATCACATTACATGTTGTTATGTACAGCTTCAAAGAACACGATTTAAGTTGAATAAGTAGGACAAGGTTAAGGCCCATTCATTGGATAACCTGGATAGAATGTTTGGATAAACAGAACCTACGGCAGTAGTTGACGACTTTAACCAATACTATTAAACTGATAAATGACTTCGGCGAATCGGGCCATTGTATTTCATAATGTGTATGTTATATTTATCAATAAATAGCAGTACTTACACGCAGGTGGATGTACTTGAACAGGGGAATTAGCTGGAGAATGCAGATTCACCACAATAATAGGCCGGGACTGTTGACCCGCTGTTTGACGGTGAAAAATGAGGTCACCCGCTCAAACACACCGTGAGAATCATACGGTTTGGAACAGGGTCACCTCATGTTGGGTTTGGGGTATTCACAGCATTAGCCGTGTAAACAGGCGCGGTGCACTATCATCTCATGAACATGAAACTCTTGTTTTGTACTTAAATGTTCGTACCTCCTTTTATTTTTTGTAGTTTCCCTGTCAGATGTAAACATATACAATGTGTGTGAATAGCTGCTAGTTATAAGTGCATTGGTTTTTATTACCCTTGATCACAAACAGGAATAAGCCAAATCTTCACAATAGCAGTAAACTGATAAATATAATAATACTTCCCATTGTATATGCAGTAATATTCAATGTACATACATGTACATGTTCATATACACAACTTTGGGTATTTTTATAGAGATTCTTTACATACAATGCCCACCTTATCCTGAGCACCTGGTGTCATCACTACTTCATATTAATATAGTCGGAATCGCACATTGGACTCTGCCCGTAGCAGATATTTCTTATTATTATGGAAATTGTTTTGTCGCTTTATTCCTAATCGGAGATTCGAAAGTTGCTCTTACACTCGGGTAATAAGAAACAGGCGTCTTTCATGCTGTGTCAATTGCCTATGTATAGGTAAAGCAGTTCTTACAAGGGAGATGGTTGTATGATCTATCTATCTATCTATCTATCTATCTATCTATCTATCTATCTATCTATCTATCTATCTATCTATCTATCTATCTATCTATCTATCTATCTATCTATCATGAAAGGGATGTAACCTCCGTGCTCTAGTTAACAGAAGACCGTCTATTTTTAATCCTCACTGTATATACTGTCATCATACAATATTCGAGGTTTTTCTGTCTGATGTATTCAGTTAAAATGTACATAGTTCGTCTGTCTGGTGTATACAGTGACAATGTACATAGTTCCCTGTCTGATATATACAGCTACAATGTTCATAATTCCCTGTCTGATATATACAGCTACAATGTACATAGTTCCCTGTCTGATATATACAGTTACAATGTACATAATTCCCTGTCTGATATATACAGCTACAATGTACATAGTTCCCTCTGCCTGATGTACACAGCTACATTGAACATAGTTCCCTGTCTGATGAACACAGCTACATTGTACAGAGTTCACTGTCTGATGTATACAGCTACAATGTACGTAGTTCCCTCTGTCTGATGTACACAGCTACATAATTCCCTCTGTCTGATAAACACAGCTACAATGTACATAGATCCCTCTGTCTGATGTACACAGCTACATAGTTCCCCCTGTCTGATGTACACAGATACATTGTACATAGTTCCCTATCTGATGTACACAGCTACATTGTACATAGTTCCCTCTGTCTGATGTTTACAGCTACAATGTACGTAGTTCCCTCTGTCTGATGTACACAGCTACATTGCACATAGTTCCCTATCTGATGTCTACAGTTAAAATGTACATAGTTTCTCTGTCTGGTGTATACAGTTACAATGTACATAATTCCCTGTCTGATATATACAGTTACAATGTACATAGTTCCCTCTGTCTGATGTACACAGCTTCATTGTACATAGTTCCCTGTGGCTGATGTACACAGCTACATTGTACATAGTTCTCTATCTGATGTACGAAGCAACATTGTACATAGTTCCCTCTGTCTGGTGTATACAGCTACATAGTTCCCTCTGTCTGATGTACACAGCTTCATTGTACATAGTTCCCTCTGTCTGATGTACACAGCTTCATTGTACATAGTTCCCTCTGTCTGATGTACACAGCTACAATGTACATAGTTCCCTCTGTCTGATGTACACAGCTACAATGTACATAGTTCCCTCTGTCTGATGTACACAGCTACATTGTACATAGTTCCCTGTTTGATGTACACAGCTACATTGTACAGAGTTCACTGTCTGTTGTATACAGCTACAATGTACGTAGTTCCCTCTGTCTGATGTACACAGCTACATAGTTCCCTCTGTCTGATGTACACAGCTACAATGTACATAGTTCCCTCTGTCTGATGTACACAGCTACATAGTTCCCTCTGTCTGATGTACACAGCTACATAGTTCCCTCTGTCTGATATATACAGCTACAATGTACATAGTTCTCTCTGTCTGATGTACACAGCTACAATGTACGTAGTTCCCTCTGTCTGATGTACACATCTACATAGTTCCCTCTGTCTGATGTACACAGCTACAATGTACGTAGTTCCGTCCGTCAATGTGGCTTCAGGCGAGAACACGGTGTAAACATAGCTACCTACATACTCAAAGAAGTCATATTTTTCTATACGGAAAGGTCTTCTAACGTATACACTGTGTTTCTTGATAATGAGAAAGCGTTTGATCGCATCTGGCACAATGGACTACTCCTAAAATTATTCATCTTTGGTGTGCAAGGGAAAGCCTGGCATATCATACGTCAGTCGTATCACGAATCTACTGCATGTGTCAAATATGCCGGTGAGACAAGTCGAACGTTCCCAATCGGACAAGGTGTAGGACAAGGACGTGTCTTATCCGCCTGGATGTTCCTTGTGTATATTAACGAGCTTATAATCCGCCTTGACCATTTGAAACAAGGTGTTATGCTTGGACGTGATCACTTCCCAGTTGTCCTACTCGCGGACGACACAACTCTCATAAGCTCAACAAGTAGTGGCATATGCATGTCCTTACAGACTGTACATCAATATGCTTGCCAATGGAGATTGACATATAATGCAAGAAAAAGCTGTGTTCTGGTGTTTAAAGGTGGAAACAAAATCAACCAACCAGGTTCTTTTAGACTAGGTAACCATATACTGGAAATGAAATCGAACACAATATATGCAGGTTCTATTATCAGTACTCATTTAGAATCCGAAAGGACCAGGAGAGCTTGCGCTAAGGCGAGGAAGAATTTGAATTCCCTGAGAGATATTGGTCTAAGAGCAGGTGGTCTGAACCCAGTCTGCTGTATGAACATATGGCGTAGAGTAATAATTCCAGGTGCCTTCTACGCGTGTGAACTGTGGTCAAATATGTCCAAGACAGAACACAATGAAATTGAAAAACTCCAGCGCTACTTTGCACGTAATGTACAAAATTTTCATGTAAGATCTTCGACCGTTGCAACTATTCAGACGCTGGGATTGTGGACAATGACATCCGTGATTGACAAAATGAAGCTGATGTTCCTTGGGAGGATGTGTAGAAGCAGCCACAGATATGCCCCGAAAAAGGTGTTCTATTTCAAGTGTGCTCAATATATAACAGGCAGTGACAAAAGTAAGTCTGTAACACATGATCTACTCAATGTGGCAAAGAAATATGAATTATGGACCATAATAGTTCACTTTATGAAAACTAACCAGTTTCCATCCAAGGATGTGTGGAACAAAACCGTACAGACTAAAATAACAGAACATGAAACTGCTCATTGGCACACCAGTCTGCAAGATCACCCTGAATTAAACAGATTTATTAAAATTCACAGTAAGCTTGTACCTCATAGACTGTGGAATATGTGTATTCTGTACAATATACCAACTAGACCTATGTATGCACTTGTGAAACTAGGAACACTACCAATAACACCTGGACAGTGTTTAATGTGTGATGAGGAGTGCGATGACATAATAAAGCACCAACTGCTATGTTGTACAGCTTTAGCTGATGCAAGGAACACCCTCTATGAACATCTATTTGACTCTTTAAACCTCGAACAATACATGCGTATTGAGGACTGTGCAGATGACGAAGTCAAACTTGTGACATTGCTAGGTGGTATAACCCCTATTGTAGAGGATATGAGCCTTGACAGATGGGCTGAATTCATATCTTCTGTATCACGAGACATAAGCTCCTGGAACCTGCGATCACTGCTCTATCTATAGACAGTATATCTCATACCAGGACCAGGACATGTAAATATTCAGTATTGCCAATTTCTCTGCATAATATAATGTTCGTGTAAATATGCTGTGTTAACATGATTCCAAATGTATATCACTATCCGAAATTAATGGAGGAAATAAAGATCATTCATTCATTCATTCATTCATTCATTCATAGTTCCCTCTGTCTGATGTACACAGCTACATAGTTCCCTCTGTCTGATGTACACAGCTACAATATACGTAGTTCCCTCTGTCTGATGTACACAGCTACATAGTTCCCTCTGTCTGATGTACACAGCTACAATATACGTAGTTCCCTCTGTCTGATGTACACAGCTACATAGTTCCCTCTGTCTGATGTACACAGCTACATTGTACATAGTTCCCTGTCTGATGTACACAGCTACATTGTACAGAGTTCACTGTCTGATGTATACAGCTACAATGTACGTAGTTCCCTCTGTCTGATGTACACAGCTACATAGTTCCCTCTGTCTGATGTATACAGCTACATTGTACATAGTTCCCTCTGTCTGATGTACACAGCTACATAGTTACCTCTGTCTGATGTACACAACTACATAGTTCCCTCTGTCTGATATATACAGCTACAATGTACATAGTTCCCTCTGTCTGATGTACACAGCTTCATTGTACATAGTTCCCTGTGGCTGATGTACACAGCTACATTGTACATAGTTCTCTATCTGATGTACGAAGCTACATTGTACATAGTTCCCTCTGTCTGGTGTATACAGCTACATAGTTCCCTCTGTCTGATGTACACAGCTTCATTGTACATAGTTCCCTCTGTCTGATGTACACAGCTTCATTGTACATAGTTCCCTCTGTCTGATGTACACAGCTACAATGTACACAGTTCCTTCTGTCTGATGTACACAGCTACATAGTTCCCTCTGTCTGATGTATACAGCTACAATGTACGTAGTTCCCTCTGTCTGATGTACACAACTACATAGTTCCCTCTGTCTGATGTACACAAGTACAATGTACGTAGTTCCCTCTGTCTGATGTACACATCTACATAGTTCCCTCTGTCTGATGTACACAGCTACAATGTACGTAGTTCCCTCTGTCTGATGTACACAACTACATAGTTCCCTCTGTCTGATGTACACAGCTACATAGTTCCCTCTGTCTGATGTACACAGCTACAATGTACATAGTTCCCTCGGTCTGATGTACACAGCTACATTGTACATAGTTCCCTGTTTGATGTACACAGCTACATTGTACAGAGTTCACTGTCTGATGTATACAGCTACAATGTACGTAGTTCCCTCTGTCTGATGTACACAGCTACATAGTTCCCTCTGTCTGATGTACACAGCTACAATGTTCATAGTTCCCTCTGTCTGATGTACACAGCTACATAGTTCCCTCTGTCTGATGTACACAGCTACATAGTTCCCTCTGTCTGATATATGCAGCTACAATGTACATAGTTCCCTCTGTCTGATGTACACAGCTACAATGTACGTAGTTCCCTCTGTCTGATGTACACATCTACATATTTCCCTCTGCCTGATGTACACAGCTACAATGTACGTAGTTCCGTCTGTCTGATGTACACAACTACATAGTTCCTTCTGTCTGATGTACACAGCTACAATGTACATAGTTCCCTCTGTCTGATGTACACAACTACATAGTTCCCTCTGTCTGATGTACACAACTACAATATACGTAGTTCCCTCTGTCTGATGTACACAGCTACATAGTTCCCTCTGTCTGATGTACACAGCTACAATGTACATAGTTCCCTCTGTCTGATGTACACAGCTACATTGTACATAGTTCACTGTCTGATGTACACAGCTACATTGTACAGAGTTCACTGTCTGATGTATACAGCTACAATGTACATAGTCCCTCTGTCTGATGTATACAGCTACATTGTACATAGTTCCCTGTCTGATGTATACAGCTACATTGTACATAGTTCCCTCTGTCTGATATATACAGCTACTATGTACATAGTTCCCTATCTGATGTATACAGCTACATTGTACATAATTCCCTGTCTGATATATACAGCTACATTGTACATAGTTCCCTGTCTGATATATACAGCTACAATGTACATAGTTCCCTCTGTCTGATGTTTACAGCTACATTGTACTTAGTTCCCTGTCTGATATAGACAGCTACATTGTACATAGTTCCCTGTCTGATGTATACAGCTACAATGTACGTAGTTCCCTCTGTCTGATGTATACAGCTACGTTGTACACAGTCCCTCTGTCTGATATATACAGCTACAATGTTCATAGTTCCCTCTGTCTGATATATACAGCTACAATGTACATAGTTCCCTGTCTGATATATACAGTTACAATGTACATAATTCTTTGTCTGATATATACACCTACAATGTACATAGTTCCCTGTCTGATGTACACAGTTGCAATATATGTTGATCATCGGTCTCGAGTGGGAAACGGGTTGATGTGACCTTTAATTATAAGGACGAATGCACTCACAAAGGGCAGGCATCCACATATATTGTAGTTGTATACATCGGACAGTGAAACATATTTTAGAAGGATTTACTTACTTTTAAGTGCAAAACACATGCGTTTTCTGGTTCACTAGATGTCAGTCCACCGCGTCTGTTGAGACAACAAATGTTGTGAATGCCCTCCACCCGAGAGACGCATCACAGCATTAAGTAGTCTACTGTGAACTACTGTGAACTCGTGGACACGTTCGGGTGCCCTTCATTTTTCAAGTATCGTGTAACCAATCCCGGCCTGTGGCATACCCGCATGTTCTAGTTTCGCTCCCCGTTCAGCTGCATCCATCTGCTTGTAAATACAGCTATATATTGATACACATAATGTACACATTATGAAATACAGCTGTTTTGTGTATACTGAGTATATAATGTTGTACAGTCACCTTACGTAACTGCGATTGTTGTGTTTGAATACCAGCATTGTTTCATCTTTATAGTTTGAGAAATACCATGCTGTCTGATGTGTTTATGTCAAAATGTGATGAAACCGGGTATTCGCGAGCCTTCCCCACAGGTGGCACCCGCCTCAAACACCTCTGAAGGCAAGTCGGTTGTTCACGTGAAAAGACAAAAATAGGGAATTGTATCGGACATCATTTTGGTCACTGATGCGTCAAATTTTGAAATGTCCTCCACATGTCCACCATGAAACGTTCTAAAAGCTTTTCTGAGGCCCTGAATGTTGTAACCTTAATCAAATAGCTTCTGGGCAAGAGCCGCATGGCGCTATTTGAAATCCTGGTAGAAAGAGCATGCTCGATTATACCTAAACATTTGTTAAATGTAGACATCAAAGACATCAAGCTAAATGTCTTGGCCAAACGACATGTTGTGGTTTGTACACCTTCAAACGAAAATATAGTTGTTCGTTTCCTTTCAGAAATGCGAGATTTCCCAAACGTCTCATATTACCTATTGTCACAAAAAAGCAAAGTTCAGTGATTACCGTAATGAACTGACTAATAGCATATAGCATGACGACACAAATATCAATGTTTCATACGAAGTTCACTTTAACGTAAACTTGTTATTTCTCATAAAATATTCCAAGACAACATCAACAAATTACATCTGTAAATGTTTACAACGTTCTTTTGAAATTTATTGAATTAAAACAAATCCCCAAATAATAAACATATATTGTTCTCCATTCCAATATTGTGCTATGTCACATGACTGTTCAAGATTGCATACTGGTACATTGTTCACTAATTATTAATTTTAACATCTACAGTCCTGAATCTGATTTAATTAAGTGTAATGTGGCATCTAGAAACTGGATGAGCGTCACAGCGCCCATCTCCAGCAGATTTGTTGTGGCGTTGTCGTTGGGCTCCGTGGAGTCTTGAAACAGCAGCACGTCGAACCTATGTGTCCTGAACCAGTTGCACAGGTAGTGGACGACACGCAGCACATCGGACCCATGTGTCCTGAACCAGTTGCACAGGTAGTGGAAGAGACGCAACACGTAGGACCCATGTGTCCTGAACCTCCTGCACTTGTGGTGGACGAGATGCAGCACTTATGACTCATGTGTTCTGAACCAGTTTCACAGGAAAGGGAAGAGACGTAGCACATCGGACCCATGTGTCATGAACCTGCTACACAGGTAGTGGACAGATAGCAGCACATCGGACCCATGTGTCCTGAACCTGCTACACAGGTAGTGGACAGATAGCAGGACATCAGACCTGTGTGTCATGAACCAAGTGCACAGGTAGTGGAAGAGACGCAATACGTTGGACCCATGTGTCCTGAACCTGTTGCTAAGGTAGTGGACAGGATGCAGGACATCGCCCCAAGTAGGGAGGGAAGAGACGCAGCACGCCGGACCCATGTGTCCAAAACCAGTTGCACAGGTAGTGGAAGAGACGCAGCACGCCGGACCCATGTGTCCTAAACCAGTTGCACATCTAGTGGACGAGGTGCAGGACGTCGGCCCATGTGTCATGAACCTGTTGCATAGGTAGTGGGAGAGGCAAGCAAGTCTGACCGCTGTGTTAAGTCCATGGCGCTGTTTGGTCATCTCAAGCCTTTGGACTTTTTTTGCCATATGACATGTGTCGTGTCGAAGAGACATCCACGATCAGGTATCAGGAAATGCATTTCCAGCGGAATTCAAGGCTGCATCCTTAATATAATTGTGGATGACCTCAGAATCTAGAGTGAGGCTGGTCGTTGCTAGCACCGCCTCTAAAACAGATGCCCACAGGTTGTTGATTCGTGTATCCAGGATATTGGTAGTAGTAAAGCAAAACATCATTTTACTTATTCCATCATTCATTGAGAGGAAGTTTTGGTTGTCAATATGTTGGCAAGTCTACTAAAGTACTGTTGGAAATGCTAGAAAACTGCTTTTCTGGCTTCATTAAATAAATACGAGTCATAGGACTGTAAAAAGAGCATATATCAAAATAACGCGAATTGCCCTAATCTAGCCTGTCCTAACTGACACCGTGATTACCCTGAAAATGTACTTTTACAAGTAAAAGGATGATCAACTTAGAAAATATTCGTGTGTTGTCATGCATGTATGAAATGGCCTGAGGTAATTACCTAACATCTGTCCCGAGGTGATGACCTCACACAGTCCTGTGCATTCTCCCAGGTGCAAATGCCACCGAGTTGGGGGGTCTCAAAATATTGCTGTTATTGTACTTAATTGACATGAGTTGATGAGGTAGTAATTTAGGATATGTTCTGCATTATATTTGCTTGGAAACATGATGGACTATTTAAGAGCTATGAAACGGGATGAGTATTGGAAGGTTGCGGTTTTGGAATCCAGAAGTATTTGTTGTTCTACAGATGGTTTCTTGAGGTAGCATTTATCTCCGTTGATGACGTAAATGAATCTGTATGTCTTGCCACGAACCCTGTACATTTAGCCAAGATATATACAACAGGGTTGATCTCACAATGTCTGACTGCCGTACGTAAGTCGACGTAACAGTGTTGAGCCGCCAGCACATTTGTCTTGTACTTTACTGGTTTCTTATTCATCCGAATGTTCTCCATGAGTTGAACTCTCGTTTCATATGATCTGAAATCGACCAATGTCATATATTCCTGTATGGTCGCCTTCAGACTACTCATGGTTTGGGCGACAGTATCTGATTCCCGTTATATTAAATGGCGTTATATCCATGACACTCACACTGACGTTGTTTAAAATGGGCAATGGCTGAAGTTCAACCAGTCTATGAAAATCTCCTTATGAAAATCCCCAGTTTTCTTTTTCGCCTCGAAAACATCCATGAATAAGCCCCATATCATGGGTTGCAGCGTGCAAAACAATGACACGATTACCTTTACCTGATGGTACCATGGGTGCTTTTTGTCCACCTGCCAATAGCCACATGTAGTCAGTGGAATGATTCACCAAGGTAAATTATCTGGACGCCCTGACTGTGATAGTTATGAATGGTTCGGAGATAATGTGACCTCATAGACTGGATGGAATATTTCCCCTGAAAAGTGCTCGGTCGTCGCCATGCGCAGTGTATCGAAATCCCATCTCTTGGAGAGCAATATTGCAGTTGGGAAACATTAATTGTATCTTTAATTCCTCCTAAATTCTACTACAAGTCAGGGTTACCTTCTGCTCATAAAGGTTGTACACTATAAGCCTAATCACCCTGCATCAAAGCTGTCTAATATCCTTTTACGCCCCAGTTTTGTTTTTGAGACCACCCCTATACCTGTATTGTTTTCTTATCAGACCGTAGCCGTGATGGTATGAATTGAAAACACCATAGCTTGGGCAGTTCGGTAATTCACCCTATCGTAATTAATAAAGTACAGATTCCATATCGTGTACCTTGGTTATGGCTATGCAAGTGTAATGTAACATGCATCATGGGAGCAGTGTTAACAAAAAAAACCGCAGCGCCACTTTGTCATTTTAGGGGATGCACATCTAGAATTTTCTTGGGGAGTAGATGTTTTATGAAGACTACATTATTATCATTGTAACGTAGTCACGTGCGCATATTTCTATACTCCGTTTCAGACTGCCATCATTGGACTAAATGTGAACTTCCTGTTTTCGTTCGAATTTGTCTCCTGTAAACTTGTCGATATGACTCCTTGTGACTGAAATACTTCAAACCACAGGTAGGGCGATCGGTAGTTATTCGATATTTCAATAACAACAGTCTATGAAAAGTTATATCCTTTTTAAACAGGCAAAAAGCAGTTTTCTAGCATTTCCGACAGTACTTTTAGCCTTATATTCATATTGTACTCACCAAACTACTATTGTTATTCTTGTACTTCTACCTAAGCCTTATATTCATGTTTTACTCACCAAACTACTATTGTTATTCTTGTACTTCTACCTAAGCCTTATATTCATATTGTACTCACCAAACTACTGTTGTTATTCTTGTACTTCTACCTAAGCCTTATATTCATGTTGTACTCACAAAACTACTATTGTTATTCTTGTACTTCTACCTAAGCCTTATATTCATGTTGTACTCACCAAACTACTATTGTTATTCTTGTACTTCTACCTAAGCCTTATATTCATGTTGTACTCACCAAACTACTATTGTTATTCTTGTACTTCTACCTAAGCCTTATATTCATTTGTACTCACCAAACTACTATTGTTATTCTTGTACTTCTACCTAAGCCTTATATTCATGTTGTACTCACCAAACTACTGTTGTTATTCTTGTACTTCTACCTAAGCCTTATATTCATATTGTACTCACCAAACTACTGTTGTTATTCTTGTACTTCTACCTAAGCCTTATATTCATGTTGTACTCACCAAACTACTATTGTTATTCTTGTACTTCTACCTAAGCCTTATATTCATGTTGTACTCACCAAACTACTATTGTTATTCTTGTACTTCTACCTAAGCCTTATATTCATGTTGTACTCACCAAACTACTATTGTTATTCTTGTACTTCTACCTAAGCCTTATATTCATGTTGTACTCACCAAACTACTATTGTTATTCTTGTACTTCTACCTAAGCCTTATATTCATTTGTACTCACCAAACTACTATTGTTATTCTTGTACTTCTACCTAAGCCTTATATTCATGTTGTACTCACCAAACTACTATTGTTATTCTTGTACTTCTACCTAAGCCTTATATTCATATTGTACTCACCAAACTACTGTTGTTATTCTTGTACTTCTACCTAAGCCTTATATTCATGTTGTACTCACCAAACTACTGTTGTTATTCTTGTACTTCTACCTAAGCCTTATATTCATATTGTACTCACCAAACTACTATTGTTATTCTTGTACTTCTACCTAAGCCTTATATTCATGTTGTACTCACCAAACTACTATTGTTATTCTTGTACTTCTACCTAAGCCTTATATTCATATTGTACTAATCAAACTACTATTGTTATTCTTGTACTTCTACCTAAGCCTTATATTCATGTTGTACTCACCAAACTACTATTGTTATTCTTGTACTTCTACCTAAATATACAGTCATACTATACAGACTATCCAACAACTGACATCATCCACCACATGAAGTCAACTGACAGTCTTTCTGCATATAAATAAAAGCGACAAAACCCTTTCATATTCATCAGAAATCTCTGTAGAGGACATTTCCAAAATAATTTACGTATCGGTGAAAAAAATGATGTCTGATGAAATTTCCCTATTTTGACTTGTACCATTTGTTCTCCAGGGTGTTTTCAGGTGAACAATAGACCGATCCAGTCTGTCAATCCAAATTGGCGCATGCGTCATTTTGAGCCAATCGGATTACTTCCGGGGTCAAACGACACCAGAGAAGCGACATGGGTACGGTTTGTGCTATTTTCACTCGCGATATCCATTACGTATCGCTGGGATTAGATGTTTACCTTTACCCAAACCCACAGGGTCGGGAGAAAAATGTTTGAAGTTGATCAAAATGTGCGGTAGGCCTCATCATCAGTTAAACGTCGTCAGCATCCTCCATGGGACCCACGTCTGCTCGAAGGTGAGTATTTGCACGAATTTCCGCACTTTTGCACATATGCATACTCAAATCGGGTAAATGACAACACGTAGCAAGTTATGATTTTACGCATGTTATAAACAAGGATGATGCTTGTAACTACAAAATCATTTTCGAATTATGTATTTTGGCAACATCCGGCATTGAGTTAGCAGGTCATATTGCTGAAATGTGACACGCGAGACGGCCGTGACACACAGTAAAAAAATATGAAAGTGATCTGATTTCGGTTAGTGCAGAACGAATTCTACAATTATTTACATTGAAGTACGATCTGGTGGAACTTGTATTCCTCTCTCTTAGATATGATTTATTTTGTTGCAGATTTTAAGATATGATTTAGTTTCAAAATCACAAAAAAACCCACTATTAGCCTATCTGTTAATATTGCAAATTACTCGACCATAATATTACAAATTACTCCAGCAGTAATAATTCTTTAAACATAGAAAAATAATCATTGTCAATGGTTTTCGTTCCATAAAATCTTTCAATTTATTTCATATAAGTTCCCATTAAATCATGCTTTCACTATTTCAACATTTCTATAAAGAGACAGAACCCATGCAGTAATGTGAAATGGAATCATCCCTTCAAGGTTAGAAAGGAGAGGAAAATTTCATGAGAAGGAAGTGAATTACTGAAATATTTTGACATAAATATTTTGAAATAAAAAATCCATCTCAGTTAATATAAGAAAATTATTGGTTTAGAATTGTTTGCAGCACAAGTTATTCACTGGTTGTGGAAGCTTACTGATATACGTTTCAGTGAATCAATATAACTGTTAAAAACGATTATAAGTGTCAAGTCATTTTAATTTATTTACTGGAAATAATACCAAGATTGTTTATGAACTCAGAGTAACATGGTCAAGTAATGATATAAATTATAATCTAATCAAGTAATTAATAATTATTCCATCCAGTTATTTAATTGATGACGTATAAAAGTCAGATTAATATGATGTAATTGCTCTGACTAACAAACACTAAATGTTTGATGGTACAACATCCACCTGGTATAAAACTTAGCTTGTTGGCTCTTTGTATAGGACATAATAATTTCTTTTTAAATACTATGTTTAAAAAAAAGATAGTGTTGAAAGTGATTACCAGTATCATAATACATGATACTTATTTCAAGATACACAGAATTTGTAAAAACAAAGACACTATCTCTTTGTCACACCCTGATCCAGAGTGCCTGATCAATTCTGATACAGAATATATTATATAATTCTTAATACATTTCATATATAACTGTGATGAATATTGAAATGTAATTAACCCAAAATGTAATTCTTTACCATGATTTGAGGAGATTGTCAATATTTGAAAATTGAGCAAGAACTAGTGTTTATTAGGGATGATGTTTATTTACATATTGTTCAAGTTTGGGTTATGATTATGTTGAGAATGAGCTTCATATTTACTTCACAGTGGTTTTGCTGGCCTCAGGATATTTGGGTTTTTATCTTTTGATATGAATTTACAATTTCTTTTAATAACTTTAGTACATTATGGGTGACAATCAGTCAGTATCCTAGAAAAGGAACTGGTCTGAATCCCTGTTTGTGTGTATTTTTATTATTTAAGGAAAAGTCATAATCACACCAATATTTGTGAGGCATACTTGGGATATATGTTTAAATATCTAATGAACTCCAGGTGTCCAACTACCTGATATTTGCATTTAAATGTATGATGCTTCATGCATAAGTAATACTTCTCAATTCACATGTGATTTGTTAAATAAAATATATATTATTTACTGTTATTTCCTAATTATTCCTTCTTACTAACTTACAATCATGATGTCAACAGGTAATTTTGTTGATTAAAGCTTTGAACCCATGACATATTTAAGCCTTTGGATGGCATTTAGAAGAGATACACATAAGGGAGAGAAATTAAAGATGGTGGTGTTGCTCATAATTACAGTTGACATCCATAAATTCTCTTCCTTATGATATATTTGTTGTACTTAATTGACATGTTAGTTGTTGTTAACAGTAATAATTCTTGGATTCCTGACAAGTCTTCAGAATAAAAGATCATATATGAATTTTAATTTGTTGTATATTTAACAAATTAAATTAAAATTCATATATGATCTTTGTTGTATATTTGACCCGTGAAGATTCCGGGGTAGAATAGGTCTTCAGCAACCCATGCTTGCCGTAAAAGGCGACAATGCTTATCGTAAAAGGCGACTAACTGGATCGGGTGGTCAGGCTCGCTGACTTGGTTAATACATGTCATCGATCCCAATTGCGTAGGTCGATGTTCATGATGTCAATCACTGGATTGTCTGGTCCAGACTCGATAATTTTACAGACCGCCGTCATATAGTTGGAATATTGCTGAGTGCGGTGTTAAACAACAAACAAAACAAACAAAATGTTGTATATTTTATCAATGAAAGTTAATTGACTGGAAGAACTGCAGAGCGTGTCTTCAGATACTTTTGCCATCGCAGGTTTCCCTTTTCTTGAACATGGATGATTGATTTGCCATAACCATGGCAGTTACAGGTGCTCATTTTATCTGGGATCCTCTCAATGTTTTCCACTGTTCTCACATACACTACTGCCTAAAAGTTCATTCCCTTAACACACGTTGAGAACGCGTGTAACACGCATGTGACATGGGTGCTCAACGGGTTGCACACGGGTTGAACACCCGTTAAACACGCGTGTGCAACGGGTGTGTAGCGCGTGTGCAACCCGTTGAGCACGCGTGGGTCAGTTGAAGTTAATCAAGATAAATCAAAACAGTGAGATGTGAATCTTGAGTTAATGAGCGGACATTGACCTGTGTTCACCAGACCATAAACACAAGGTCGGCCCGTCTTAATTAGTGTTTGGTTGCTGGACTTTTATGGCAGGAACCATTCCACGGAATGGTCTAGCCATGGTGGCTACACGACAGTAGAACAGTAGTGAATTTAGAAGCGAGTTTATTGCTAGGGGAACCTCGAGTTGACACGATTGTCGCGGGTTGGTAAATGTTCGCCATTAATGAAGTGATTGTTTGTGGATTGCGGACATATTCGTTTTAAGTTTTGCCCACGTGAGTCATTCCAGGTGACTGCAAATATAACGTTTTTCGTTCGCCAAATTTATGCTTTAGATAGTACACTTATGATAGAACAGTCACCACTACTTATGTCTTATTTTGTCACGTAGGAATATATGTCCCATTTGCCGACAACCCACTTTCTGTTTGGTATTTTGTAAGAATTATTAAGAGAAAGTTGTGTGTGGGACTCTAACATTTATCCCTTACTCTAAGAGGATATTGGAAATGAATATGAACATGTTGTCTCACTGTTGATAGAATTTGAGATCTTCACAATCACCGGGTGTGACCATGTAGACAGAATCTCGTTAAGATTTGTGATTTTTACATTTGCCCAATGACCATGGTGAGTATTGTTGGGGATACCAAAGGTTTACTATTAGATGAAATTGGTTGTGAGGGCTTATACCATGTGGATAGGATATCTTTAGGATTTTAATCCGTTCTCTCTCTGTGGGTAATCCTTTCACGTTGATGGAAGGAGGTCACTCAACCATGGATATGCGCAAGGCTTGGGATCGCGAAAAGATCACCAGAGGTGTTGATGGTGGCTGGACATGCAGCATACAGCATTTCCAGTGTAGACTTGCACCTCGTCTTTGTTTCACTCGGTATTAAAAACCTTGATATACAAGGATACGGCCACCACGCCATTCACAGGTGCATTTGTCTATTTACAATGAAGTTGTTCAGCTTTCGCAGTATTTATATACTATCTCACTGATTACTTGTTAACTGGGCATGAATAAATTTTGATATTCATATTATTATAGTTAGTCAAATTGTAAATAAAACTTTAAGAAAATTGTGCTACACTTTCTCGAAAAATGTTTTGTCTGTGGGTAAGTTTAAATGTCATGTCACATCAGCATTTCTTCAGTTTTATTGCGGCGAAATAATTGCCAGCTTTTTAGACTACATGTTACATGGCTGCTTTTACATTTCTTATACAAGTGCTTGACTGCCTCAGTAGTTCATGATCAATTAGATTTTTTATTGTGTAAACAAATCAGTCAAGTTTGCAACAATAGATGAATAAGTTGATAAATTTGGACCGCAGTTACCGCATAACAACTTAAGACATAGAGACAGGGAGTCGATATATAACAGAAGTTATGGTCCTGTTAAGACGGTTGACAGTTAGAACGTTGGAGTAAAAAATGACCAAAAATTGTAGGGTCAATCGCTTTGGACATGTTGAAACTCATTTTAAGGCACACGACAAGTCAAAACTGGCCGCCCTTCTTATGTTTGACAGCAACTATGCTCGTGGATTTCAGAGATAGATGTGATGTTTTACCTTGATGTTATTACAATAAGCGAAAATGTCTTTTAAGTTGTAACTTTGTATATTACCACACCCACACCCACACCCACACCCACACCCACACCCACACCCACACCCGCATCCATACACCCATACACCCACACCCACAACCGCATTAAAATCCCGCTCAAAGCATACAAACAGGTAAGCATACAGGACGCTCACAGCAATCTCATACAAATTACTCACAGCAATCGCATGCAGAACATTCACAGCAGTCTCATATAAAACACACACAGCAATCTCATACAGAACACTCACAGCAGTCTCATACCGAACACTCACAGCAGTATCATACAGAACACTCACAACAATCTCATACAGAACACTCGCAGCAATCTCATACAAAACACTCACGGCAATCTCATACATGTCATACATCTATACACATATGCGTCCATATATACACAACTTAATTCATCAATCGTGTATACTAACCTACATGTATAACCAGCATACATACTAACATACCAACCTACATACATGTACATACCTATATCCATCAAACATAAATCAATCCGTATTATACATACACAGGTCCATCCATACCTATGTCCGTTCAAACACACGTC